TTGATGTAATAATATTCATAACGGATCCCGTCTCTTTTCTTTCAGAAGCAGCGGTAAGTCCGAGATCATTTCCAAAGCCGTCGACACGGACGGTCGTCTGTCCGTCCATCCGTCGGTCGCGCGGAAAAACTGTCGCAAGGTCAGTAATCGGAGCGTGCTCTCGCCGGCGAAGCGGTGAATAATCATGAGATCGAGAGGAGGCTCTATATAGCGTTTGCATGAAATTACGCGGTTGAACGCCGATAACGGTAGACACCGCCGTCTTCGTCGGGCGGCGGCGAGGGCGTGTGCGACGAGGAAGACGCGATCCTCTGGCGCATTAGCGCCGGCGCGCAAGCTGGCTATCAATATTAACAAGATAGTAATCGGACGCCAGATGTAGAGACACGTTCGATCGATAACGGGCCGCTGCCATGTATATATACATATATATATATATATACATATACACGCGCACATATACAAAGCGTTCGCCGGGACAAATCGATGGCGATACGAAACGCCACGGCGTATTCGTCGTCTTGTCCCGTCCATCGGCGTCTAACGACGTCGAAAGTTTTCGTTTTTCCGCCGATTCCGCGGAATTTCACACGCGAACCGCCCTTGACGACGACGACCGACGACGCTCGCGTGTGGACGCGATCCAAAAGGGTTAAGTAACCGCCCAGTTTGATAACAAGGCAATGAATAGTGATGAGCCGGAGTATGTCACACACACGTGCACACATACACGGTACACACGGTCGAGAAACTGTGCCTCACTTCGGGCGCGCGGAATTTTGGATCCACCCACGTCACGTTAGCACCTGTCCAATTGCGTCGCCATTAATCATGCGTTTAACTCTCTCGGTGCTTTCTGGCGTCCCCCCTTCCCCCTCGCGCTGTGGCACGCTTTCGAGCTAATCGAATTAAAGCGCGGCCCATAATCCGCCGATTCGTTCGACGGGCACGATTATCGGAGGGATGTGATGTTTGAGATTATTAACTTAAGGTTTTAATTGAGAGGTTCATCTAGAATCGGGCGCGAAACGAGACGAGGCAGGGTGTGAACGAGGTATAATAGTGTCTTCAGCGACATATAATATATAACTATTATCACACTGACATATAATATTTTTATTAATTCATGTATATTTTAATAGCTTGTAGTAATATTTACTTGAACATAGTAATATCTTAATTTATAAATAAATTACTAAGTGTAAAATGGTTCTAAATTTAAGAGAATATTTGTTAGAATTATATAATATTTCTTCTCTATTGAAAAAACTTTGCGGTTTTAAATTTAGATTGTTCTGTCAACTATAAATATCATTTTCTTAAATAAATTGCGATATTTTCTCAATATTACTAATTGTTTTAGCACATAAGTAAATGTTAAATGAAGGAAATATCATATTATACATAGTCATTTATATTTCTACTTGTACTAAATACTTGCCAAGGAATATTAGAATAACCATTTCTCTTGGATCAAATAAATATTATTTGAACGGTAGCTCCTTTCGTCAGTGTGATAATAGTTATTGGCTCACCTTGTATATATACGTATAGTTTTCAATATGTCGGCGATGTTTTGTTGCTACACAGTTACGCGGTTATAGTTCGGCATATTAGTCATAGTTTGTTCCACGAGTTTGATAAGCCCCGCAACTTAATCCGCCACGGTTTAACGCGAGGCAACATAAATATTCTCAAGATAATCGCGAGAACCCCGAAAATTCGCAGCCACAGCACCGCCACGTCGGTAGCGGCCGTCACCTTCGGTCTCGTTAATCCGGCGCTTGAAACGATCATAAAATTTCTATCGTCGAGCGAGCCTAGATGTTTGCTTGCACGAGGGTCGATCCCGGACCTGAGAGATGAAGACGGGGGGGGGAGAGAGAGAGAGAGAGAGAGAGAAAGCCGAGCGGCTTGGTGGTCATAAAGCATTGAATAATCATGAAGCTAATCGCGCGACACGCGCGTTGCCTTCTCGTCGGCCGGCCGGTGGGAGGGCGGGAGCGACGAAGTCGCGATCCCTCGGCGCATTAGCACCAGCATGCGCGCGCGCGAGTGCTCCATCAATATTAATAAGATCGTAACCGTGCGGACAGTGTCGGCACGACGGCTATACGAAGAGAGAGAGAAAGAGAGAGAGAGAGAGAAAGCCGATCGGATGGCCAATTTGCCTAGCGGTTAGATGGCCGGATTTTTTGTCTCGCACCTTCTCTCTCTCTCTCTCTTTTATAATGTGTGCGCTCCATCTTTGCTGATCTCGCGAACGAATCGAGACGCGGGCTCGCCGACGCATTAATGAGCGGGTACGACGTTTCGTAACGCGCTGCGTCGCGCTGCATCGCGTCGCCTCACGGACTCGTGCTCGAGGGCACGTCGAGGCTGAGCGAGGCTTAAAGTGTCGTAATAGCGACGTCCACTTGGTCCATAAACATTGGCCGAGCCACGTCGGAGGGAGCGGGGTGGTTCACCGGGAACCCGTACCGCCGCCGTCGCCGGCGGCGGCGATGCGAGCCGCGCGGGCGGCTTCCTCTCAAAGGTAAACGGTATCGGGTCCGTTTGATGTTTGAAGTCGCCAATGTGTGGACAGAGTCTACGTAGTGAGCGAGTTTCTCTCTCTCTCTTTGGTCGGAGCAGACTTGGTTAACCCATGGTAGGCCATATTATTTTCTGCGGCTCGCCAGATGTGACTTTTATGGTACCGTGTATGTGTATGCGCGTGTGTGTGTGTGTGTATGTATGATTATATCAGTGGTGAAACAATTAAGATGTACGGCTGTCAATATTAACTCTGCAGTCCGGTTTTTCATTTTCTGGTCAACTTGATTAGACTTAGACTGATGTTAATGCAAAAATTATGTTTCTATTTACGGTTGGTCGTTAAACTGGTAATTTTGTAGTGGCAACTTGTAAAGTTTAATAATTAACCGTGAAGGGAGGGATGTTCGCATTATCATCGGGGTAAAGTCGAAACTATAAGTTGGCCGGAAAATGAAGGATCGGGTCTTAGAGTGATACTTACGATCTGGAGGTAACATCATAGGTCTCTTAGGCCTGCACTGAAAGAAGATGCGTGTAGGCCTCGTAGGCCTAACATGTTACCGTCAGGTTGAGGTAGATTAAAAAAAATTGAGTAATCGTATAAAGAAAAACAAATATTCCATCAGCGGGATATAGATTAAAAATGAATCCATTTTTCAGGGGATTTCGAATTTTATTTTTAAAATAGCTATCTCACGCAAAGAAAAGCAAATATCTATTGATGTGGACATGTTGCAAAACTGACCGAATAAAATAAATTTTTGCGATATTTAATTTTTTGTCGGTAAAAGACGGTTTTATTTGACGTGTAGCCGGCAGAAAATTGCAATTCGTCGCACAGTAATTCAGGTTAGCCAATCCCGGTTTAGTGGGGCGTTGTTTTACAAATCGCCTACGACTATAACTCGCATGCTTTGGAAGGGANGGGGGGGGGGGGTGGAATAATCTCGCTTTCCGCCGAACAAGAAAGAGAGAGAAAGAGGCGTCCAGAGGCGCGGCCCGAGTCTTCGCGGCGAAACGTCATTTTTTCGGGGAAATCGTCCGTTTCGTCGGTGGAACTCGTCACGCATCGCGGTTAAGCGGTTTAAGAGAGCTTCCCGTGCACGCATATCCGCTCTCTCTCAAGAGAGAGAGAGAGAGCGAGCAGAGTCCAATCTGGAAAATGCACCGAGCGCGCGGTAGCGCATCGATCGCGCTTCGTCTCGCTGTATGAACGGATATGAACGGAATACACTGGGCCGCGCTAATGCACACTACACCGTAATGCCGGGGGTATCCTAACTTTACGGCGTCCATCACGAACTCGTTCCGCTCGCCGCAGCTGCTCCCGCTGATACTTCAACATGGGCTTCGTCCGTTAGCGGTAAAGTGAGAGCCGAGCAAGAGGGAGAACAAGAGCAGCGACTCGCCGCCGCAGCAGCTTCGCTTGAGCGGAGACGAGCTCGGAAGGCTCGGGGCATGCCGACGGCCGGGCCTCGACAAAGTGTGCCGCTCGCGCTCACCGACAGTACGAAATTAGCTTACGGATTCACGATAAGCGGCTTACGGCTTCGAGCGGGATAATCCGCCGGTCCGCAATCGATTCTTGATCGTCGGTCGAGAGAAAGAGAGAGGGAACACTTTGAACTCGCGCGGGACTTCGCTCGCTCGTCTAGCGTCGGCACATGCGCGAAACGATAACGCCCTTCCGTCTTCCACCTTCCTTCCACCCGGTCTAACGATCTCGACATTTTGCCTCTTCAGCGGAGAATGACTGCGCGATTAGTCCACGGGTCAATGCCCAATCACCGGCACGGGGCTTGATTCGAACGCCGCCGAGAGTCGGCTGGCGCCGTCGGACACACGTCGTAAGTCACGATAGCGCCGAGTGTTTTTAGCGAAACGTGCGCGTAGGTATGCGCGATTGGTTGTACTCGGAGGAACCGGGGGATGGGGTACCCGTTCGGGCGATCGCGGGAAAACGGCAATAACTTCCCATTTGTAGCGCCAAAAGAGAAATATAGCGACGCTTTGAAGAGTTAATGTCGAAGTAGACAGACTTAATGTAGAACTTAAATTTCGACTCAGGAATCGTCGCCTCGATGGATCTCGTTTCATAATTAAAAGCCCTGGCGTACACCGAGTCCCGACGGTCTTTTTAAACATTTACTAGACCAAAAGTTGACACGAAGTGTCTATTTAATAAACTAGAATCTTGGTCGGTACGTGCCAACAAGGCGAGCTAAAGTAGCGGTCGACGTAATTTCCGCACTTTTTTACGCCATTTACTACCGCCGGGCGGAAGGATTAAATCATTAGGGTAACGAGTAGGTAATGAGAGAATCCAATCGGTCCGACTTAGCGACTCGGCCGCAAAACGCCGAGCAACTTCACGGAGAGACGAGACCCTCCTCGCCTCCGCGCGCCGTTCCGTAATCCGGCGCGTCGCGATGGAGAATCTTTAATTAAGTTAAGTCGCTCACCTCCTGTCCTTTGATGTTTCTGTATCGAACCCATTTACCCAGTCGCGGCCTCCAGTATTCCAGCAGATACGCTTCCGCGTATTCAACGCCCACGCCGTTTCCGAAACGGCCCTGGGTAGCGGTAGCTGTGATCAAATGGATGGTGTGGAGGTCGATCTCCAGCCATTCTCGTGCTTCCTTGGTGATTTGGTTCTTAGGACACCAGGCACCGCCGAGATTCTCCGATTTCAATCTGTAACCATCGACATAGTCGAGTATCGAATTAACTCCAGCTCTCTCTTTCTCTATCTCTCTTTGATTTGCGCTTAGTTGATCGCCCGGATTTATCGAAATTATTATTGAAGTTATTCGCTTTTAATATTCCCGTTAGGTATCTTAGAAAGTCTCCATTTTTTCACGTAAAAGTGCGCCGCATTTTTTATATTGAATTTAAATTAATCATGTTTGCTTGGGAATATTTTAGTGGTATGTATTTGATTTTTATTACATATCACTATCTTCACTTAAAACTCTCATTATAGAAAAGTTGTTAGTTTTCATATATTTAAACGTTAATTTTATAATATATTTATATATTTTCTTTCTTCTCTCTCGAATGATATGTTTAATTATGTATGTTTGATGTACCAAAAATATGATTTCCCGCAAATATCTGGGCAAATAAACAAATAAATATCAGTGAGAAATCAATTGCGATGCGCGACTACTAATATTGAATTCGATTGGAAAAGAATTGAGGTCGCAAAGGGAAGCGAATACCTCATTGATGTAATGAAATAAATTTACTTTGATTATCTAAATTTAGTTTTACTATTTAACTTATTCAATTTATTTTAATTTCATTTGAAATGAATTTCGACGGTACTTTTTGTTCCCCGAAAGGCGGTTTTATATCGCGCGTCGCGGAAAACTGTACTTCATCAAGCCGGCTCGACGAGCGCATTTCAGCTCGGCACGGCGCGCTTTAAACGCGCATTCAAGTACGCGAGTTCAAGTTTTAATCTCGTCGATTTCGCGCGACGATTTTTCCGCGGGTATTCCATGTCGTTTCGAGCACCGGGGAGCACCTTCGTCCCTGCGATTCGGAAGTTCGACAAATTCGCGGACAGTTCGACGACGGCCGCTCCGAGACGCTCGGAACGATCGCACCGGTGCGTTCTTCACGCGCTGCTCTCCCTCTTCGTCCTTACCTGATCGCGAGGCAGCCCCTTCCGAAATTTTCGAACGACTTTGTATACTTTCGGGGCTTTCTGCTCTGCGCGCTCGTAAAAGTAACGATCTAATTAGACGTGAAAGTATCGAGTTAGTTCCTCGCCGGCACCCACCGCTCGTCCCGCGCTATCTGAGGATCAACCCACGTGCGGTCGACCGTCGAAGTCCTCGCACCGAATTCCGATATTATCACGTTTACGTGCGCGAGAAATCGGGGGGATTTCCCTGCGCTTCCCCGTCCCCCTCTCTTTCCCTCTTTCTCCCCGGGCTCTCGGACGTTATTTCGCTGACGCCGTGCAGCCTGCGCGCACGGCGTGAATCCGAATTGCATTTTAATGAAGCACACGGAACACTCGGCATTAGAATAAAAAGGTGTTTCGAATTCCTCGCCTCGGCAGGAAACGTAGCTCGCAGCCGTTCGACGACGCTCGTTAGAATACCGTCTATTTCATTCCGCTCTCTCGGCCGATAACAAAAATAATATCGCTGCGTACACCGTTAACATCGCGCTACGACGTCGCTATAATATAATTACGTAGAATTCAGATATATAAAAAGGATCGTACTGTCGTCCCGGAAGACGCGAGACCGATAAAGATAGTGGGCGAGCGAGCGAGAGAGAGAGAGAGAGAGAAAGAGAAAGAGATGACGAACGCAGTCGGATAAGAACGCGAGAGGGAACGCGAGGGTCCGGAGCTTTCTCCCGGCGATCATCGGTAAGCCGGCGGCTTATCGAGATTTCCAGCAAAGCGACCGATCCGATAACAACACGACGAATTTACATAGAGAAGAAGGAGAGGGGGGGAATCGGAGCCTCCGAGTGCCCGCGTATCATCTTCCGCGCAGGTGATACGGGTCGGACGGGGGCCGTATACGTGGCCATTTATGCGTCCAAGCTGTGCTTGGCCGCCTCGTGCTTCGGTTTTAATCTTCGAGGGGTCGAGAGCAAGGAACGAGAGAGAGAGAGAGAGAGGAAGGAGGAGAGACACAGAGAAAGAGAGGGAGAGAGCGAGCTCTACGCCCGGACCGGTATGAATAAAACATGAAGCGCGAAGCGCCTTCCCTAATTGCGTGGACCGTTTAAATGCTCGACTAAGAGTGGCGCTCCTTTTCGACGTTACGCCGAGGATACACGCGCATATACATCGGCCGAGTGTATTCTTCCCAAATTGCGGATTAGCGGGCCCAGACTCGAGCTGGTATCACGGCGTTGCGGTGTGGGAACACTCGAGAATCGTCTCGCGGATAACGCGCCCTTAACAAGCCCGCTACCAACGTCGTGTCACAACGAAAATTCTCTTTGTGCGTCCACATGATCAAACCAAGTCTGTTTTGCACATTCACGCGAAAACACGAGGCGGCTTGTGCGGAGGGTTTCTGAAATAAATTCTACTAACGAATGTGTCGCGCACAGAAAGAAAGTGTTCGGTTGATATTATTACGTAGTTGATTTTTCTTGCGTGTCACTTTCTTGATTTAAAGCTACCGTTATAAAAAAAATTTTCGAATTATATATTTAAACGTTATATCTCTATAATATATTTATACATCTCTTTCTGTATTCTCTTATAATTATGTTTGATGTACCGAAGATATGATCTCCCGTAAATATATGAATAAATAAATAGATTATCAGTGAGAAATCAACGTAATTACCTGTTTTTCAGTCTGTTAAATCAAGGCATATTTTTACCAGTTTGAATGTGTTTTTATAACTCGTAGCGATTACATGAACGCAATAATTTCTTAATTTGTGAATTAATTACCGAATGCTAGTATGAAATGATTTTAAACTAAAGAAAGTATTTATTAGAATCATGTAATAATTATCTTCCACTGAAGGGACCTAATGGGTTGAATTGTCCTTCATAAAATGAATTGAAAAGTCAACTCTCAGAATATCGGACAGTATACACTTTAAGAAAGATTCTATATATTTATTTGTTCGCTGCTCAACAGCAAGAAATTTGTCGCCGCTCAAAATAATTTATTTCTCTGTGCAACGTATCGTAAGAGGCGCGAAGAAGGTCGGTGACGAGGATAAAAACGAGGAGGGAAGGGGGGAGTGATGGTGAAGGAAAGAGGTCGTCTGTTACACGGGAATGTTCGCCGCGACGAAATAAGACGCAACTTATAATGAAACGCTACAATAAACCAGGTCGTTACCGGCGCGACGTGATTATAATAATCTTCCGCGATAATAGGGAGTATAAATGGAGCCGTTTACGGTGGCGGCAACGGCGGCTCGCGTCGCCGTCGTCGTCGGGGAATCGCATTTCGTCGCGTCGTGACTGATCCACGAGGTGCTAATAATCGCGCCTCTCGCGCTCGTCATTAGCCGCGGCTGGTTGCATTCCCGATTGCGGCTGGCCGGTCGCTGTAACAGCCGTGGCTGCTTTCGCGAGATTTACAGGCCGCGCGTTGGAAGCACCTCTTTATCGTTAACAACCGGCTCGCGTTCTCCGGCTGGTTAGCCCAAGGTGGCGGTTCTCTCGGACGAACCAGACGAGACCGGACAGACGCGTCGACGTTCATACACGTGAATAAACGCGCGCTGACTATGAATTAATTCACAGCCGAAATTTTGGCCCCGTGTTTAACATTTCAATTCTACAACATAGTAAGAGCTAAGGTAGCAAAATAGCTTCCATTTCAATTCTAATGATATAATATAAACCTTACTTTGACCCGGATGATGTCTTAAATTTCCATTTTCGCTTTTAGCGTCAAAATAGGTTGTTGAAGGTGGCGTTAAAATTTCGTCGGTGGGATTAAAAATTCAAGAGAGAAGTTAAAGCGTCAGTAATCGTGAAAGTTTTATCAGTCTATGGGTCCGTTTAAGTAAGCGCGAACTATCCTTCAAAGCGTCAGAATAGCATCAGAATTTCGTTCTTCGGACGGTGATGTGTGATTTTCGAAAGACCCTTCTCTCTCAAATGCAAATTGAGAAAAATGATGAAGAAGACATTTGAGTAAAAACTTGGATTTTACTCGGTTGAATCGGGACAGGTAGCGGTGATATCAAGAGAATCTTCGTGCTCTCCTCGATGGCGTCCTTCCTTTGATAGGACGAGTCAAGAGAGGGTATTATTTTTCGCGAGTTTAGACAAACAGCGCGAGCGATGTTATTTACTTAAAGCGCGTTCGCTGGTGAATTTTAATTTCCGCATTTGCAGCGCGCCGAGCGCCTCATAACTTGAAATATCGGCGATGGCGATTCCTCCTGGAATCGGGCTGGAATCGCGGAACGCAGTTCGATAGGAACGCATGTCGAAAGCGAGCGCGCTCAATGATGCTGAACGTAACATGGCGTCAATTGCCGATAGCGGCGCGTGTAATCCGCGCGGGGAAAAATAAATAAATAGATAAATAAATACAAATAAATGAGTCTGCGGTATGCGAGAGCGCTCGCTAAGCGGATCGTGTTTTCACGTCGAAGCGTTCACAATTTTCGCGCGTTGCATTTCCACCGACGCCTCTACCCGTCCCTCGATTCGGATAGAGGCGTTACTTTTTTTTTCTTTCTTCCCGGCAAAAAAATAGATAAATGAGTAAATCAACGAATCAGCGACGCGTAAAAGCGTTTGCAGTTACGCGAGCGCAGATCGTGCACTGGGAAGAAGGGTTTATTTAGATTTATCAGATATTGAGCACGTTTTGATTGCGGAAAACAGAATTCCTGGTCCAAATTCGAGATTCGAAGATTCTTATAATCAAGATTCGAGATTCGAAGATTCATATAAATTCTATTTCTTCCGACCAAAATGTATTTTATTCGTTCACTGTCCGGTAAATTTAACCGAACTCTTTTTTCCGCGCGGTTCCACGCATCGAAACGTTTGTCATTTTCTCGCAATACATCTCGACCAACGAATTCACCTGCTTTTCGACGGAGCAGCGTTACATTCTCTCTTCCCTTCCCCCTTTCGGCGAAAAATAAATAAACCATTCTGCGGCGTGTGAAAGCGTTTACAGTTGCTGTGCGAGTGGTAATTGTGGTTTACTGTATTTAAATGTTTA